TAATATTTTAAAATATATAATATATATCAAAACCAAACCATGCCCAGGGCCGGCTGCACCTCCTTCCAATGAGATGGACCCACAAGAAGTCATCTCAGTTCTAAAATAATTTCACTTGAAATTCATTATTTGGAAGTTTATAATTGAATTTCATGCTTTTTTAATTAGAGGTTTTCTTAACTATGTTCTGGGGGCATTTATACCTTATAAATTTGTGTAAAAAAAATTTTTAAATTCATATTAATTTTAATATTATTATCCACATAAATAAAATTTTCTGGACTTGGTTAGATTTCAAACCATAGTAATGATTCACATTCCCATCCCCCAAAGTTGTCACTTTGCAAAAAGATGAAAAATAAAACATGGAAGGGGCGTGGGTGTAGCCGAATTCCATTTTTTTTTTTTTTTTGGTCCTTAATTACCTACTGAGTTTGAACGTGGAATCTTTAATTCCAGTTTTCCGACCTCCTTCCAATTACGATATGGACAATGAGAATAAAAAAGACATACAAGTAGGTAATACTCCTAGCTAAAAGGATTGGGGAGAAATTTTTTTTTTTTTTACTCTCAGCCAATAGAAGGAAAGCACTCTTTGGATTTTCTTTAAAAAAAAAAAAATTCGAGTTTTCTTTTCAAGGAGCGTGCGTTAGAACATCATCTCGCGTTGTTTTTCATTTAAAAAATTCAATAGTTTGAGCATATTCCTCGCATCCTCTATAAAAAAATTTCATTTCCTTAACCTTTAAGCAAATATGACCTCATGCATCCGCAATTTTAATTATATTAATTTAAGTACATTTAATTCTTGATTTCAGTCAGAATTCAAACTCTAATAACAGTTTCTTACCCCTCTTTCTCCCCAATTTTCCCCTGTTTAAAAAAAAAAGAAGCAAATATGACCTCATTGTTCATTTAAAAAATAAAAAAAGAAAAGAACCAAATCACCTCATTGGCAGGCTGGTAACGTTGACTTTGTGACAAAAAATGACCTCCCAACAAATAATTTTTTTTTTTCAGAAAAAGTTAAATTGAAAAGTAATTTGATGTTTTCCCCTATAAAAAATTTCATCTCCTTATCATCTTCAAGCAAAAATGACCTCATTCTTCATTAAAAAAAAAAAAATCAAATCACCTCATTGGCCGGCCGGTAACGTTGATTTTTTAACAAATAATAACCTCCCAACATAAACTCAAACAAATAATTATTTTTTTTTCAGAGAAGTTAAATTAAAAAGTAATTTATTTAATTTAAAAAATGTATTTTTTCAGGCTTGAAACTTTCTCATATATCAAATATAAGCAAATTTACCTCCAAGAATGTCCTTTGTGTTCCAAATAGTATAAATTTAATTATTAGATGAGAGTGAATTTTTTAATATTAAAAATTATTTTTTCATTTAATAACTCTTATTTTATTATTTGATTTACAAAATAAGAAATTCATTTACTTTTCAATAATCATTTCCCCTATTTTTTATATAAACTTAGTTGAGCCAAAGGAAATAATTAATCTCCTAGCAAGGAAAGTAGTAAAAAATTCTAAATTTAATTGCATGATATATATATATATATATATATGCATAAGATGAATTAAGATACCAAAGAAAGTTATCTTATTTTATACAACTCAAAAGAATAATAATAATAAAACTCCAGTCTTGTGATTTTAGCCTTTAAATATATTAGATTAAGGTCTTCTCCGAGTTATCAGGTTTAGATCAAGATTTAAGAATATATTTAAATTAGTTATTCAAATGTAATTAATATCTGGATAATTAATATTTATGTTAAAAAACTCTTATATGAATAAGAATGGTTGATTATAAATAAGAATAACTATATCAATCAAGATGTCTCGGCTACCTTATGCTCCCAAACTCGGAACCAGGAATACCCTTACTCTCACTGATATCCCTAGAGCTGGCAATCCGTCAGGCTGATGAAAATTACCAGGCTTTTGTGCAATACAAAAAAAACAGCACTCGGAAGGGATTGAGTGATTCTTTTGGAAACTGTGTAACGTTTTACCAAGATATGAAGGACAAACTCCAAGCAGATCATCAGTTGTCACAGCAGAGGCAGTTTGAGAAGATCACTAACCTGGGTGGATTGACTACTCTTGCTTACAACTGTGAGAACGGGCTGCCTTTTAGCCCCCCAACAGCTTCCATCACTGAGGATATGCTTCTTACCCTCCAGACTGCAAGTTATGTCAATGAATATGTTCAATCAACTCCAGTGCCCAATGTTTAATCTACTGTTTTTTAAGGTTTTAAAAATGAATCCTGGGTTTGTTTCTTGTCGATATAATAAAGTTTGCTTTTGTTAGCTACTTATGTTCAAATCTGATGCCTCTAAGTTTCTAACAGAAAGATGCACCATTGCCATATGACTAAGAAAACTTGAAGCAACTAGTAGGAAGTCAGACCGAAATGTGCTATATAAATTGACTCTGATGTAAAGCATTTGTAGTCATCAATTCTTCTCAAATGTTATGTCCAAAACAAGTACCAATTGTGGTATTCTCTGACAACATGTACTCCAATGAATATGTTGAACGAGTATAGATTGTGGTATTGTCAGACAAATCAAGCTCGTCTCCTAATGAATGTCCTAAAATGAATAGGGAAAAAAATATTGGAATATGATTAACAAGGTGCAGTGCACATGTTAGTTTACTCGTTGCCTATATCTTGGGCTTCTTCAATTTTCTTGCACTTCTCTTCAGACCAGTTACATTTCTAATGTTTCCTTCATCTGCATCATCAGTTTTTTGATTTGAGGACTTCTTTGCACTTTTGGAACCTGCAGGCAGAGTAATGCTTCTAGTTATTCTCCTCGAACCTTTTACGTCTTTCAAGTTCTCTTCATCTGCATCATCAGGTTTCGCATGCAAGGACTTTTTTGTGCTTTTGGAACCTGAAGGCAGAGTCATGCTTCTAGTTATTCTCCTCGAATCTGTTACATATTCCAAGTTCTCTTGATCTGCATCTTCAGGTTTTGCCTTTGAGGACTTCTTTGCTCTT